CCAATCTGGGTATCGATTTGGGATGATTTCTTAATTCCCCGCAGTATACTGGTCAATATAGAGCCCTAATTAATGGTACTACTTTTGGGAACTGTTGAAATCGACACCTGGGAAATCTTTAAGCCCCAGGACGGCCCAGAAGGAAGTTGTCAGCCGTCTCGAAGCACGCCTGCTGGAGATGGAGGAAGCTTGGGAGGTGCGCCTTTTTCAGTGCTTAGGGCTTAGGGTTTTTAGGGTGTACTTATATAAATATCCTACCTTTTCAGCGTTCCTTATTATGCTTTCCTTATATGAGTCCTTGAAAAAGCTAGGATATTTAGGGTTAAGGTAGGGTTAAGGGTTTAGGGGATCCCTCGAGGTGCTGGTAGGGTTCAGGGCTTCTTAAAGTGCTCAGTGGCGGGCTGCAGGGCTTTGGGATTCCGAGAGCTCTGGTTTCTTTCCAGCGTTTGCCTGTATGCCCCGTACGCATTGATGCTATAGATAGATACCCATAGGCCCCAAAGTAGTTCCTTTTGGGGAGTACCTTATATTCTACCAAGCGGGAACTACTTTGGGGCCTTAGGGTAGATGGACAGAAGACAGACAGATAGTAGGGGCAAGCATGCCCGTAAGACCTGAACTCAAAACTGCCTGGTCCTTAGCAGGGAATGGGGGACTGGGTTATAGGGACTACTATAAGGGACCCTTAAGGGACTATCATAGAGATCCATTCCCCAACTCCTGAAGAACCACTCAGTGACACCTGGAAGCCACTTGGGGGGTCGGGGGACTTGGTAAGTAGGTAGTAAGTAGACTTATAAGTACCCTAAAAGGGACCCTAATTGGGGTTATGGTACTTATAAGTCCCGAAAATAGCCAGTTACTAAGTCCCCCGAGCCTCCAAGTAGAAGACCCGGGGCCTTTGAGGAGCACGCGCAGCGCCTTGTGGCCTCTAACGCCAAGGCTTCCTTCATCTCTCGGCCATGCGAAGGGGACTTCTTGGGGTGCGGGAGAGGTAGAGCGATGCTCCTACTGTGCATGGCTAGTACTGAACTATGTTTTTTTCGACTTTCCAACTCTGGCATGTTCTTTTGCTTGACATAAGTTTCCTACATATGGGTGGTTGTCAAAATTATGGTCCCTTTTGGTGTAACCTAAATACTAGGTGCCGTACTATAATAGGGACCCAATTAAAAGGGACCCCTAATTTTGACAACCACCCATATAGTTGGCAATGTCTGGAGTCGCTTCCCTTCGCCGTACAAAGGCTTCCTAGGTGAGATCGTAAAAACCGCAGGTGTGAAGCCGAAGACCCCGAGGGCCAAGCTCAAACGGGAGTTTCCGAAATTAATGGGTACCAGTTTTGGGGGGGTGCTTTAGAATAAGGATCCTATACTATTTAGGGTGCTATATCAGGGTCCCCTATTTTCAGAAACTCCCAAATCTTCGGAGGGGGGCATTGGGTAAGGGTAGCCTGCGGCAGTCTTGGGACTCTCTTCTTTCCTTTGAGGTGCTGGGTGTGTTCATTCTTCTTCTGGCTTAGCCAGCAGATGAATGAAGCACACAATGATTCAGTGATTTTGGGCCGAAGCCTCAAGACAAAACCCGACAAAAGCTCCACGACTATCTTGCAGCAAGAGTGATCTCCCAACATTCCAAAGCCGACTCTGCGGTCCAGGAAAGACTGCGAAAGGCAGGGTCCCAACCCCTTCACCTCTGAAAGCCACTTCTGTTTCACCTTCAAGCCCCAGACCCTAAACCCTAAACCGCACGGTTTAGTTTAGTGTGGTTCCTTCGGGTGCGTGTACTGCCCTTCGGTCCTCAAGCTGGCTCCACCCTAAAGCAAACCCACTTGGAGGTTCATGGGTAACTATACTCATAACCCACATTAAACATTAGGGGACGTATGACCCTACTTAGAACTACCCATGAACCTCCAGGCAGGCCCTCTAAACGGTGTTCCTTGTTCTGGGCAGGCCCGCCAACTGGAAGATGCTCTGGACACGAAGGCGAGAAGCCAAGATTGGCGGGAGGGGCGGTTAGACCCCAGTTACCTATCGCTTACTGGGTAGTTATTGTTACTACTAGTTGCTGTTAATGTGCCGCTTCTGACGGGTCTAAGGAACACGAGTCCACCAGCTTTTTATTTGGGGGTGTCGAGGGTGCGGGGTTTAGTTCGAGTTAGAACTCAGAGCTCATGATATGAGACATGGATATCGAAAGCCCTACTGGACCGCACCTTGAGCCCTGAGCAGTCGCTCCTGAACACAAGAACTCATGAGCATTCATTGTTTGTTAGCAGCAGCCATGTTGGGTTTGGGATGGGGGTTGTTCCAGATCACATTCCCTCCCAGGGATACCTTGGTAACATTTCAGTAGACTCAGCACCACGGCTTGGCCTACGATGCAGGTAGCACATCTCGTTATGACATTGGTGACGCCGTGAAGCATGATATCCCGCATTTGTGCTTGGTACTTTATATTGCAGAAAGACTCTGTTCCTGCCGCATGCTCTTTAACGAATATCAACACTTGAACATCAACCAAGCATCAGAGCCCACAGGCGATCGTCGAGTCTTGCTTTGGCGATGAACTTGCGTGTTACACAATGTGAGAAAGTGAGGCTTGACCGTCCCTGCAGTAGAAGATGACAGCGCAGTGGCTGACAACCATACGGTACTCCTTACTGTAGCAGGACACCGGCAAGGCGGCATGAGCTCCCAGCCTCCCAGCAATCTTTGGTCTACTGAGGAACGCGAGCTTCAGCAACAGGCAGGCTCCTGGATGTCAGCTTTGAATTTTCTCTTTGACAAGAAACCCAGGACAAGGGTTTTGGGGCACAGCTGCTCTTGTTTGCATGTGTGCCTTGAGCTTAAGCAAGAGTGGGCTCGACTTAAGTTCATGCTAGGACAGGCCCTGGCTGCACGGCACAAACTGTCTGGCAGACGGCCTTGCAAAGCCACACCTTTCAGGAAACGAGTCTCAAGAGCACCATCGGACTACATCTTGTCGGACATTGTTCATAGCAGTAGCCAGCATGAGCCGTCTAGTTTGTGGTCTGTGTCCACACTCGGAGCGAGCTACCACGGGTTTATATAGACATTACTATAATTTGTTACTACTATTACTATTATTACTATTACTATAAGGGTTTGGATCTTCGGGCCAATCTCTGCGCAGGTGTCCAGGCATCAGCTGGAGGAGGAGCTCTGCAGGAAGCTGACGCCCCTTGCCTCGAGTTTGGCCCGAAGATCCAAACCCTTATTGTAATAGTAATAATAGTAATGATAGTAATAGTAAGTAACAATAATCATAATAATTTTAATAATGATAACAATCATATTGTTATTAATAATGATAAAAATAATATTAACAATAATAGTAGTAGCAATAATAGTAATAATTAGGTCTTTTTAAATCCGTGCCCAGCAGAGCCGAAACTACCCGACCGTGGAAACATCGCAGGAGTGCAGATTTCAGAAGGGCGGGCGTTATAGATGCAGAAGTTTGCGAGTTGGCCCGTGCCTTTTGCAAAGGACGGCTTGCGCCGAACTGGAGGATGAGGCTTTCCAACAGCGCCAGCAAGCTGAAAGCTTGAGGAAGCTCGACTGCATGCCAAATGGGCGGGATGGAGATGCAGCTACTTTCCGGTTTGAGAGAGAGAGAGAGAGAGAGAGAGAGAGAGAGAGAGAGAGAGAGAGAGAGAGAGAGAGAGAGAGAGAGAGAGAGAGAGAGAGAGAGAGAGAAAGAGAGAAGGAGAGAAGGAGAGAAGGAGAGAAGGAGAGAAGGAGAGAAGGAGAGAAGGAGAGAAGGAGAGAAGGAGAGAAGGAGAGAAGGAGAGAAGGAGAGAAGGAGAGAGAGAGAGAGAGAGAGAGAGAGAGCGAGAGAGAGAGAGAGAGAGAGAGATGGAGAGATGGAGAGAGACGGAGCGGGGTGGGCAGAGTGCCGACGCCCAAAAGAGATAGAGATAGTGATCCAGTGAGAGAGGTAAAAGGAGCCAGACAGTGTGTGCATGGCATGCATGCGTAGGTACGTATGAGTCGGTCGATCGGTAGGTCCGGGTAGGTGGATAGGTATGTAGATAGGTGGGCAGGTAGGTATGAAGGTAGGTAGGTGAGTGGGTATAGTTTGTGCAAGCTGAGCACTGCGCATGCTATCGTAGGTGTAGGTACTCAACTTCACATGTTTGCACATACATGTTCTGGGATGAAGCCGTGAACAAGAATCCCAGTTTCCCAAGATCATGATGCCTCCCAGCTCTGCAGTTCATGGCATGCCTACTAGAGTGCCGTTTAAGTCAGCGGCCAAGCTGAGAACAGGAATCGAAGAGGCCTTAACTCTAACCCAGCCGCTTCTAGACCGAAGCTTGGTCGCAGGCCCAAGCCTCCCTAAAACTACGTGAATCCCAAGCCCGCCCTTTAAAAAGCAATCGATCCGTGAACCCTTTGTCGACTCATAGTCAAATGGCAGGAGCGAGACGGCAACACAAGAGGCGAAGAGCCTGGCGCTCGAGGCCCAAGACTGTCCTGATGGAACTGCCGCTACCCGCCGACCTGACCTTAAGGCTTAGCCAACCCTAGAAGTCCTAAGCCTATAATATCCTGAACTAAGTGAGCCAGGGGTTTTCATGCAGGGCGAAAGTCCGATTCCAGGTCCTGTCGCAGGCGGCCTTCCTTCTCCTCCTCGACCGATCTCCATGCTTCCCTCCTGCTTCCAGATGTTTGCCACGAAATGCAACGCACTGCGTTGTCTTTTTACTCCCCAGCTCTGTTGGACCATCTCTTCGCAAGCCAGCGCTTCTCCGGCCTGCTAAAACTATTCAGGATCTTGCTCTTGCCCTTCCAAGTCCTCTGGCCGCCGGGTCGGTCAGCTTTTTCCCGGTGTGCAGCGGCTCTTGCATCGTAGTTTCCCTCCTCCTGCTCCTCCTCGTTTGAACGCCTCTCCTGCAAGTGTGAAAACTTGGCGAAGCCATCTCAAGCTTCCGTTTCGGTCCAGCCTGCTTTCATGTTAAAACTCCCTTCATGTGCCGCCTTCCTGGCCCGCCAAGGTCTCGGTTTACAGTTTCTTCAGACGCAAAGCATCCTTCTTTCAGCTGCTGCCGCGAGCCCTCCAAATCCTCAAACTGTCGCCTGGGCTCGTCAGGATTCTCGATCTGCAGCTTTCGTCCTAAATCAACTGAGATGTTTGCCGGCAGTGGAGCTCAACCTAAAATGGGAAGGTCAAAGAAGCGAGGTTAGAGAGCCAGCACACACCCTGTTCGAGACACCTGAATTAAGCCCCAAACCAAAGTCCTAAATCCTGGTCAAGAGTCTACATTGTACTTCCTTTTGTATTAGCGCAGTTGACATTATAGTATCCTACCCATAACGAAAACTGGTTAGCCAATAAACTGGGGCAATCAGGGGGATTTGAGGTAAAAGCTGAAGCTCTATGCTTCCGAGGACCTTATACTTAGGGCTCTGGATCCCTTAAGGAGTTTAGGGTTTAGGGCTCTGGACCCCTTAAGGGGCCTAGGGAAGCTCTCGTGAAGGCAGCAGCTGATCGCCGGCAGGCCGATCTGGAACATCTGGCCCGGTTGCTGGAGGAGCTTTGGGAGTTGAAAAGACTTCAAAACGAAGAGCCGCAGTTTAGGGTTTATATAGGGTTTAACGGGTCCTAGAGTTATGCTCTTTCGATAGGATGCATTTGGCATCATGTTTTGGGGTTGAGGGCACGGGGATGTGAGGGTGACACAAGAGTTGAATACATAATCCCTGCAGCACTAAAATGGGCAGAGCCGCAGGCATGACGAGGCTTTGGTCTTTGGCGTTCAGGAGTCAGGGGAGAAGGTGTCGTCCAGCATTGGGCGGGAGGTTCAAGAAGGATTAGGGATAATGGCCTCGTAGGGTAACTCTCGACCACAAACGGGGATTTGGAATCTCAAAAGTAGGCCTCTGCGACATAGGGATTAGACCCAAATCCTATGAACCTCTCTAGCTGAGCCCTGCTGATGCAGGGCCTCTTGTGCCGGGTCCTTCGCTGGCGTCTGTCGGGAGGGATGCAGAGTCCCATGACGTTGGTTCTAGTGCAATATACCTGTTCCAGCAGGAAACGAAACTGCCTCTGACGAGTGCAGTCGTAGCACCAGGGTTTAGGGTTTAGGGTTCAGGGTTTAGGGCTTAATTAGGGGGCTTATATCCTGCGGGGGACCCGGACTTTCCTCCTTTGAGCGCGGAGGAAGCGCGTGGAGAGTGCGGAGAGCAGAGGGCCAACATCCTCCGCAATCAGGCCGGGGGCCTCTACCCATAGGCCCCATAGCAGTTCCTTTTTGGGGAGTACATTATAGGATTCCTGCATATGAATTCCAAAAAGGAACTGCTATGGGGCCTTAGAGCTATCTGGCTTGGTGTTCTTGTTGGTGTTACTGTCAGTGTTCGTGTGATTGCCTTTTTTATTGCTATTGTTGTTTCTGCTGCTACTGCTACGACTAAGGTTGCATTAAGTGTTGTTGCTGCCCTCTGCAGCTTTATGCTGGCATCTGCTTTTGTCCGGTCATTGATGCGGTTATATGTGTATTATACATTTGGATTGACGGTTCTCTAGCAAGGGACTGATTTAAAGGGCAGTGTCCTTGGTTCAGGGTTTCACAGGGCTTATGACTATGCGAAAGTACAACTGCCGTGATGGCGAGGGCAGATGCCTCACTTGCGGCACCTGTGACACTTTCAGCAGGAAATGCCTTGTAGATGTTGGAACACAGCGGCTTTAAATGAAGCATACGTGCCGCGGTAGAACCTGAAGCATCATGATCTGACTGCGCCAGCCATACGTCATGTGCCTACGCCAAGCCTAGATGAGTTCTGGTGAAGCCACTTGCTGCAATCCCAACGCTTTTGCGTGAGGCCAAAATTCGGGAGCTGCAACATGTTCAGCAAGAAGTTGCAGACGTTCGGACGGAAACCGGCAGTCGCATAGAGAGTTTGCGACTTGGCCGACAAGCGAGTTTTCGGGGTCGGAGAATACTTGGCGGGAGGGTCTTGTATGATTGAGAAAAATGTGTAATTAGCAGGTGCACTTAGCATCACTTGCTCGGTAGTGGGGCGGAAGAGTCAGCGAACCTGACCGACTCTTCCGTTGCAGTTATTCGCTTCTTAAAATTTCTTAAACAAGTCTTGAACTGAAGGACTGAGTACATATTGGTGTAATTTCCATTAGTTTAGTTTCCCACATGGGATCACTCTTCGAGAAATTCGGGGACTTTCGTTAACCCTCTCTGTTGTTCGCAATTTTGTCACTGTTTCTTCTCATTGTAAATCCCATCCTGCACTCTACACTCTTTTCTGAACCATGAAACCCTATGGACCCGAACTGCAAATCTTTTCTGAACCATCAAACCCTATGGACCCGAACTGCAAAACTTACACCCCAAGCCCTGAAAAAGAACCCCGAACCCCCAGTCCAAACAAACCCCTACCAACGTAAGCCAGACCTCTCTTCAAAAAAACTCGGGGCATCCCCGTTCCGAAGAGCGATTCCCTGAACTCTTGACCCCAAAACTCCTCTCAGGGAGAAGGAAGGCCAACGTTACGTCCTGGAGTGCACCGAGCTGCGGGCAGCACTGAAGGATGCCGAGGGCGCGCACGGGCAACCTGGCGACGGTGAGGATCTTTTGAGGTTTGAGGAATGAGGCTTCAGGCCTTCAAGGGGTCGATTTTTAGGGGTTTCTAGGGCTGACACGGCAGATCATGGGCTTAATTACACCGCTGAGACTTTTTCCGTTCCTTGCAGGCGAGAGCGCCAGACCCTCTTGGCAGAGCAGAACGAGCTGGAGAGAGCCACTGCATTTCGGACCGAACAGCTTGCTGCTCTGGGGGCCATGTAGGTGCAGTTTGAAACTATATATAGTTATATATATATATATATATATATTTATTTATTTATTTATTTATGGTAGCTCCTATCTCTCTCTCTCTCTCTCTATATATATATGCATATATATATATATATAGATATGGATAGATAGATAGATAGATAGTATTAGTACATATAAGAGAGGTTATAGCAGACCTCAAACCCGAAACATGGTTATGGTCATGTATTGCATACAGGTAATAATAGCACTGATATGCAAAGCCTTGTTCTCCCTGGTTCCTCCCCTTGAGCACTATCGGCCTCTCTCTCTCTCTCTCTCTCTCTCTCTCCGCGGCTTTCCACCAAAAGATGCTCTAATGTTATTTCGTCGTGGTATTGTGTATGTCACGAGGCTACCGGAGATCGAGTCCTGTATCACATTTTTCTGCAATGCGGCCTGTGAGTTCCGATATCTGTATACTTTTGCACGCTGTATCTATCTGAATCAATCTATCTATCTGGCTGCCTTTGTTATCTAGATGTTTACCTGTAAACTTACCCATTTGTTTCCGTGTATTTCCTAGCTGAAAGCAGCTCACAAATTGATGATGGCCGTGCACATGTTGCAGCCAGGCTCTCCATCAAAATGCGGCCTCACACAGCAGCCGGCAGCGTGACGTGCTTTCCAAGCAACTTGGCATGCTTCAGAGCCCAGCCATCTCTTGGCCATCAAGTTCCTAGGCCCGAAACGTTGAGAGCCACAAACCGGGAATTTCAAGCAAAAGTCTGCTTTAGGGTCCTGGGCACACCCTACAGTCTTTGCACCCTGCAAATGCCTGAGAGAAGTTTATTGCTGGAAGTTGTCCTCCCCGTCTTCACAGATGTGAGACGGCCGCTATCGGAGAGTAGTTGTAGAACCCGGAGAATAACAAGACTGTTGCCATCAAGAGAAAAGTGCAAGTTCTAAAGGCATCATCGAAAGCAAGAACTGTCGCAGTGCCAGCCGCTGCTAGCTGCTAGGAGTGTATAGTCGCATCAAGGAGAAATGACAGATCCACGAATGGCAATACCCCCAATACCGTTGATAGTATTCACAGGTAGCGAGAGTGACTGTGTACTGAAACAGTGGTCGGTTGTATTAGCACATCTTGCGTGTACCTGTACATCCACGTACTTGAGAAACTGTTACAGATCGGGCTGGTTCGGATGTTCAAGCAGGCTGCGATTTGCGTTCTATGTGGAAGGCAGTTGCTGGAGCTGCAAGAGGAGGTGCAGGAGAAGCAGTACCAGCTTACAGGCAGGCTCAGTTGACTGCCGATTGCCTTGCAATTGATGTTCTTGCGGAGAACGGCTGACTTGCCCTAGAATGGTCTGCGACGTCGTTCACGGACGCCCAGTTCATGTCCCAGAGATGAATAGAAACTGCAAAAGCCACACAAGCCAGAGAAGCCTCAGAACATCGAATTCAAAATCATGCAAGACCCTCAGTGTGCAAACGCCTCTTGGCATGGAGAGGAACTCCTGGATTGAGCACTTTAGGTCCCAGTGCACTTCCCTGATCTCCGTGTGATGCTGAGAGCTGTGGTCATAGTCTCAGCAATGGCTGTCTTGCCTTTGTTGTCAACACTTGCTGCCGAGGTTCCTTTTGGAGTGTCATTGGAGTGCTGTTTCCTTTCCATGATCAGAGCAACCCAGCAGAAATCGTCAAAAAGCCTTCGATGCTTGGCGAAGCCGCAAAGACACCTACTCGGAAGAAGACTTGACGCCTTCGCCCCAACCCCCCGATTCACCTGAATCCCGAATCTCGACCTGCAGCCCCAGACACCCACAGCTCCGAATCCTCCGTGTGCAACAGATTCAAGCTTTTGAACCCGATGTGTGGGGAAAGTCCGACACCACGATCTCGAGGCCTTGAATGACATCGAACTTGTCCTTCATACACCAATGCCGCTTAACGAACCTCAGGCTCTAAACCCTTCTCATGTGTCAAGATGCTTTAGTAATTTAGACCGGCCAGTACAACCGCGGGAGTTTTTGCTCAACCCGAAACGTGCTAGACGTGAATCGGGGCCGCAAGTCCCGGAACCTTCGTGCACCCGAAGTCGTTTGTGTACTTTGGCAGGCATAGCGAGGCAAGAGTCATCAGAGCGGCACAAGTCCACCCTGATGTTGCAGGACAGCAGGGCAGCCGGGTGTCATGCACGGGTTTCGGGGGAACTTACGGTTCTTTGTCATGCAGCTGATAAGCGGGATTTAGAGGGCTGTACCCACAGTCCCCAAAGTAGTTCCTTTTGGGGATTACCCTATAGGATTCTATGTACGAACCCCAAAAAGGAACTACTTTGGGGCCTATGGGTAATCATGTTGGTAATGAATTCCCCACAAGACTTCGGAGTCGGCGCACTATAATCCCCGAAATCCACTATACCCTTTGGCCCCAAAGTGGTTCCTTTTTGGGGTTCGTGTTTAGAATCCAATAACGTAATCCCAAAAAGGAACTACTTTGGGGCCTTTGGGTATGGAGAACGCCTTGCAAGATCTGCTTTGGAGACCCGGTGCCAAAAGACATAGACCAGGCTGGTTGAAGCTTCCCAAAACCCGATTACTAAGCCCTCAATGGTACCAGGATATTCCGAAAGGGCACTTGTGGGTAGCCTAAAGACCCAAAATCTGCAGTGTGTTTTTTTTACGCAAAATCCTTCAAACCTCAGGCTCAGCCCCCGAACCCAAAATCCTAAACCCAAAAGCCCGATCCTTCACCCTACCCATATAGGCCCCAAAGTAGTTCCTTTTTTGGGGATTACCTTATAGGATTCTCAATATGAACCCAAAAAGGAACTACTTTGGGGCCTTAGGGTAAACCCCCGATTTTAGGAGCTTACCACGGAGCTGGGGCAAGCGACGCAGCGCGGCGACCGAGCCGAGGTCATCTTCCGCAATATGCTCGAGGTTTGTTTTTAACCCTCTAACAAGCACGAGGGATGAGGGTTTAGGGTCTGGTACTCAGATTTGGGCTCTGCGGTTTAAGGGCCGTTGAAGCTGTAGGAGTTTCCTGGTTTCAAGGATTTGGGTTTTGGCGCGTATGGGGTTCGGTGTTCGGGTTTGTGGTCCTATCTGTTAACACGCGTTCGTTTATCCTCGGGCTAACTGGCTGGGTTTGCGGAGTTTAGAGTGCAGAGGTTCGGCTATCAGCTACCAGCTGCTAAGAGGAAAGCTGCTGGAGGTTTTGGAACAGCAAAGGCGTCCAATAACTCCTATTCACCTATTCTACTCATGTTCTGGCATCCAGAAGATATGTGATGAGGACCATGTTCTGAGAAATGAGTATTGTGTCACGCATGTTTTTTGTATCAAACACAGGTGCAGTTTGGTTCAGTTCCTTTAGCACAAGGACCAGCCGGCGCTTTCGGCGTCCGTGCAAGTTAGGGGGCAATTTAACTATTCCTACTTTTCGGCGTATACCGCCCTGGCTCCGTGGCCAACGCAGCGCAACATCGGATAAATGGATAGGCCCAACAAAAATACAGGAGCGATCTGGTTTCTGTCCACAGTACACAGCTCATGGTTGGTTTTAGCTTGATCTTTGAACTCGAGGCCGATCCCCTTAGCTTGTAGCTGACCGGATCGTTCGCAGGATGCTTTGGCGGATGCCTTGGCGAAGGGAGCTGTTCCTTGGCTCACAGCTGCCTTACGACTTGATGTTCTGATTAGCGAGCCGCCAAGTACTAGGGCAAAGAGTCGTAACAGGTGATTCGTACTTGTGGCTGTGGCAGCTGCTCAAGATGGCGGTATTTGTTTGTACCGTAGTTTTTTGCGTTAAGTTGACCGTCAGTCATACCAAAGTTACAGGCATTGCAAATTTTCTTCGTTGTTGCCTTCCTAGCTCCGTTCTTCATTAAAAATCGCATCTGCGCCTGTGGCCCTGCAGCCTGGAGATTGATCATTAGGTGCCATGCTTGAGAGGATGTGATCTTCAGATTCAGTTCTCCTCCATAAACAGTCTTTTTGGCAACTGCATCCGCGCTTTTCGCATGTATCCGGCTCTACCGGCCTGAAAGCCTCAGCTCCCAAATTCTCCTACGCGGCTCAGGCCATGCTGAAGCAAAATCAGGGCCTGGTCCGTGGCCGCTTGGGGCACCAGTCTACTCGTGTTGGAGAGCGGTTTGGTTGTGATTCGGATTTGGATTCGTACTATCCTCACGGATGCAAGAGCCGATCTCTGCTCGCTTGGTGCTTGAATGTGTGCTCCCTCCAACCGAGACCACGAAGAGAAGAAAGCAGCAGCTTCGCAGCATGCGACCACGCTCCAGAGCACACTGAGCGAGGTGCAAGATACCTTGGTGCAGTCGAAGGCCGTGGCAAACCAGTATCGTGAAGAGGCGGACTCTTGGAGAAAAGCTCACGAGAAGCTGTCGGAGGATTTCACCACGATGAAGACTCGATGCCGATCTGCTGAGCTGCAGCTTCAAGAGAGCCGCTTGGTAGCTGAGTAGGTAACGTTTAACCTTCTTTGTTTAGAAAACCATTTTTTTGTCACTTGAAAGGGTTATATACCTGGTTAACCTATTTTGTTGTGGGCTAGGGAACTCAGCCACTATAAGGTCAAAGCGAGCTGGAGATCTGCCAGTCCGGCAAAGAGCGCGCAGAGCAAAGCGTGCGAAGTCTCCAAGATCAGGTGGCCAAGGTGTCGCAGGAGCTGAGTTCACTTCAGCATGCGCTTGACCAGAAGGCTGGGCTTTGGAGTACCATACTTTAATACTTTATTCCTAAAGGAACCATCATGAAATAAAAGTATATACTTTTTCCTTAACGGAACCATATGGAACCATTGTGAAATAAAAATATATACTTTTTCCTTACAGGAACCATTATGAAACCAAAGTATATACTTTTTCTCCCTGGTTACTTAAAAGCCCAGCAGGAGTCCGACTTGACGGCTTCCGAGATGCGTTTGTCTGAGCTGCAGATCAGAGCTGAACGAGTCAGCCGCGAGCGGACGGAGCTGGAGCTTGAACTCGAGAAGGCCCAGCAAGAGACGCAGCAAAGTGCGGCAGATGCCCGCAGCTTGCTCCAACAGAAGACCTCGCAACTGACATCCCTACAGCGGGTGCAGCAGCAGAAGGAATCGGACCTGGCAGCTTCAGAGATGCGTCTGTCGGAGCTGCAGGACAGGACTGAGCGAGTCACCCGGGAGCGGAGAGACTTAGAGCTTGAGCTGGAGAAGGCCCGGAAAGAGTGGGAGCGAAGTGCTGCAGAGGCCCAGAGCCTGCTCCAGCAGAAGACCTCCGAATCGGCAGAGTTGCGTGCTGCCCGAAACGAGACGAGAGCACAGCAAGAGCAAGCTGCCCTCTTGCAGAAGGGCTTAGAGGAGTCCCGGCAGAAGTGTCGCAGTTTGCAGCAAGAGCTGGCCGAGTCATCAAGTCAACTTCAATTAGCTGCTGATCAGCGCCGGCAGTCTTCCCTGAAGCGCGAATACCAGGAGCGTGCCATTCTGGGCTTGGAGGAGCAGGTGGTCAGATTGAACGAAGAGATATGCCAGGCCAACGACCAGCTGGAGAACGGGCACGTGAAACAGCGATCGGCCGAGCTCCAGATCCGCGAGATGGAGCAGAATGCTCAGGTCATGGCCCAGAAACAACACAAGGCACCTTGGTAGCTGAGTGGATACACTTTACACTTTTTGGGATAATATCACCCACTATAAAACTGAAAGTGTGCATTTTTGGGGGGCTTATGAACTCAGCAACTAAGGCACTGGACCTCCATTCTTCCAAGGAGGAGGCGGCCGCGGCACGACTGGTGGAGCTGGAAGCCTCTGTGAGCCAACTTCGCTCCCAGCTCGCTTCTGGCCTCTTGTTAAGGGACTGCTTAACCCTGAATAACCTACCTGTTTGGGGTTCCTTAGTATGATTTCCTTATATAAGTCCTTAAAAAGGTAGGTCCTTCAGGGTTAAGGCTTAATTTAATTTAAGTTACCATAATACGGAAACCTGATTATTCACGATAGATCCCTATTATGGTAACTTAAATGAAATCCCTTAACAAGAACCCTTACCATAATACGGAATAGATCCCTATTATAGTAACTTAACTTAAACTAAATCCCCCCTAAACCCAAAACCCTACTAAATCCTAAACAAGAACCCAGGCTTTGAGGGAAAGTGAGGCGCAGCACAACGAGAGACAGGCCGAAAGCACGGCCGCACGCGTGAAGGTTTCTTTGTCACAGTTGGATGACACTTTACATGTTTATGGCTACTATATACCCAATAAGGAATATGGGCACTATAAACCCAATAAGGAATACCTGTTTATTGGTATAGTTAAACCCAATAAGGAATACAAGTTTATGAGCACTTAAACACAATAAGGAATACAGCATAGACATATATTTTTAATGTCCCAACCATGAACTATAGGTCTTGGAGGCGAAGGATGCAGCGTGTGGCAAGCGCACCGCTGTTGCGGAAGCTCGTGCTGCGGAGCTGGAGTCCAAGTTGAGGCAGCTGCATGCGACTGCAGCACACGTGCAGGAACAGCTGGGCCTTTCCCGGGCAGAGCAAGTGCAGCTGGCATCCGAGAAGTCGCGCCTTGAAGAGCAGTGCTTGGCATGTCAGAGAAGGCTGGCGGATGCTGAGGTGCAGGTACAAGATGCCCAGGCAGAGAAGGAGCGCTGGAAAAGCCAGCAGAAGATTCAAGAGGATCGAGCCCTGAAATGGGAAGCGAAAGTTGCCGAGCTGCTCAAGGAACTCCAAAGGCTCCAAACGGAAGGGCCTCAGCTGCCTTCGCATGCGTGGAGCGAGGTGGGAGATGAGCGGCTTGGCCGCAAATCTCGTGGCTTCGGAGCTCATCTGAACCCAACACCCTCGCTTGATAGGCCCCTTGGATTTCGGACATCTTCCAGGTCTTCGCAGGTAGGGTTCCTCGGGGACTAAAGGGGAGCTCTGCATGAGCCATCTTGATAGAAAAGCTTTCTGTAAAGCCCCGTCCCCATGACGGACAGCTCCTGGCTTTGGGGCCTTTGAAGTTTCGAAAGGGGTCTTGCCTTGCTGCCATGCTTGTCAAGTGCGGTGTAGGCTTAGCATCTGAGAATAGATGAAACCTCAGGCCTGCCCGGAGAAGCCATCTCGATTGTTGAAAACTCTTCTAAAGAAGTCTTCGGAGAGTGAGATTTTGAGTTTTTTTTAAAGGCCGGAAGCACATGCCCCTAGAAGCCCAGCAACCTTCCCCCACTGCATGGGTTGGGTGGGTTTGTTTGAGCCTCAGGGCTCCGACTGCTCATGTGTTTGCCTGTCTTGACACACGAACAAGCATTCAGAAAAGGGACCCCCAACTTGCAATCCTAGCCCTAGCCGAACCCCCAGGAACTTCGTAAGCACGAACATGGAGCAACCAACCCACGACAGGGCTCGACCCTACACCCTACCTTGACCCTGAATATCCGACTTTTTTAAGGAGTCATATATGGACATCATAGTAAGGAACCCTCAAAAGGTATGATACTTAGGGTTAAGGTAAGCCCCTAAACCCGACACCCAATTGACAGCACTCTACCGTTGCCCAGGATTGGCCCGCTGCTTCGGCAGTTCCAGGCCGCTTACATCTGCATCCTGTGTTATGAAGACGATATGATGCGATGTTGGATATGTACATATACAGAATATGTACAGAAAGCGTCACCCTGGCGGCCCGGTTTTGTGTGGTTCATGGAGGGTCAGCATTTCTGTGTTGTTGAACAGATATAGATGCAGTTTATATCTTTCAACTTAGAAGATGTTCAGCTGAGCTCGCTCAAGATATACATATAGTACATGTTTACAAATTTATGTATAGTCGTCTTTGCTTGCGGTCGGAATCGGCTGAGGTTGTTCATCGCGCAGTGTCGTTGTCTAGGGTCCTGTTTGATTTAGGTTTTAAGCGAGCGAGCGACGGGAAGCCAGAGAGAGACCAACAAAGGATTTAAGTAGTCAAATCGGCTGAGCGGGGGTTGATCCTGGAGAGATTCCATCGCAAAGCCGGAAGCAGAAGCTCTCATGTTTGTGCTGCCATTAAATGCACATCCGAAGCCAACGAACCCCGGCCAGAAGTCTCCGGCGCACACGACGGCAGCTGAGATGCACAGAAGCTTATGTAGGTGGTTTGTTGACAAAATCTCGGGTCGTACGCAGCGAGGAGTTGCGAGAACTGGTAGGCATCTCCGATCAGGATTTTGTAAAGCAGACATGCTGGTAAGATGTGGCCCCTAGAAGGAACGATTCCGAATGGATCTTTGCATCCTGAGGTGCAGTCCTGCTTGCTGGAAGCGCACGGAAAGCTTGAGGAGACTACCCCCGCTACTGTAGCAATAATGATCACTGGCTGCCGCAAAATCGAGTTTTCGTTTTGGGGAGTTCTGAACGCTTAAGCGTCCTTGGGACTTGAGTTTTTTATGACATGAGGTTGGGAAGTTGTGGGCCCTGGCAATTGATTGCTGTGGGTGTGGGAGAGGTCCAGCTTTAGCAACTGGACTTACGATGTATGCAACCAACAGCTTCGCAGGAGAGCTATCTGGAGGCTCAGAGGAGGCTGGTCGCCGCAGAGGCCATGGGGAGCGCGCGATTCCGGCTTTGAGGGTTTTTGGGATGTTGGTTTGCCTTCACCTGCCAGAGCATACAGTTCATAGGAGAGTCTAGTTTAAGTTTATAAGTATTACGTACTGGAAAAGCCCTGCTTGGGCAAGCTTGGGGCTTGCTCTTTTCAGGGGCCCCAGGAATGGTGTCAGAATGCTATAGAACCTTGTGATGCCTGCACTTGAAACACCGAGCTCCTCAGCCCGTAACCTCGGTACTGCAGTAACGGGCTTGCGCTTGAAAGCGCTATAGGGCTTATAGTATTATAGGGCTTATAGTATTATAGTATTATAGGCAAATGGAAGAACTCAGCGGGGTAATAATGGCAGATAAGTTTTGTTTCAGGGTGCCGCACATGTTTCCCAAAGCTGAAAGCAGGCTTGGACAGTGGCGTCCGCCAGCATAGAACTGAAGTCATGTTCGCAGAAAGTCCTGTGTCATGTTCTCAGGAACGGCCGTTGACTGTTCTTAACAACGTCCGTTGACCTCTGGACTGGACTTGATTGACGAGTTTCCTTATTGATTCTGCATTTCCCATGGTTAGGAGCAACTAAGCCTGTCTAACATCTTCGCTGTCCATCTGGTATAGACTGCGTTTCCCGGATGCGTTGTGGATTCCGGCACAGGAGCGGCTGCAAGAGTTGCGTGAGGAGTGTGCCTACGGCCGGACTCTCAGCATCAGCTCTTGTGACCAAAACTCGTCAGCTTTCGAAACCCTGACAGCCAACATCCCGAGTCTCAAAGTTGGATGCTGCTACTTGACAGCGAAGCGTCGCACGTTGTGCATGTCATGAGACCACAAGCTAGACCACACGCCTGACCTTGTCCTGCAGAAGTCCGGTCCGATCTCCTGAGCATATACATATACCCATCGGGTTGAAAATATGCTCCAGATGTGAACAGCCATGGTGAAGCCACAGAGGACGTGTTACTCGACACCCACTCTGCTCTCCTAGGGTACCTTTCATGAGTGTAGTCGAACAGGACGGGTCACCTCCTCGGGTAGAGCGGTTGCACGGCAATCGGACTAGAAACGCAGTATTCCTGTGATTTTATGATACCATAGGGGCCTGAACAAGTACCAAAACTATTTTGCGGGTTGCCAAACTATAATTATACGGAAGAATTGACCCCAAAACCCTGTTCGAATTATTAAGACCCCTGTGGTAGATGCTCCTTCCAAGGTCCTCCGCTGCCCATACCCGAGCGAGTGCCTGCACCACTTATGGAGCCCGGGGCATGTTCGATGAGCTTGAGATGCCTGCAAAAAATCTGCTGGCAATGTGGGGCGGGGTAGGGATGCTGATGCCGTTTGCTATGAAGGGCAGTGACAAGTCATTTCTAGGTAAGTGAGGAACAGTTGAGTCGTTAGAAGATATTGAGATAGCGGAGGGATAGTGACGACGATCACACGCACCAATCCTCAACTCTTACGGAATCCAAAAGCAAGTCTAAACCCCTAAAATCCTAATCCCTTAAATCCCTAAAACCTAAACCCATAAATCTTAACGCCCCTAAAACCCCCAAAACCCTACACCCCCAAAAGCCCCAAAGCCCCTAAACCCCCAAAAGCCCTAAAAGCCCTCAAGCCCCTAAACCCCACAAAAAGCCCCTACCTAGACCCTCCATCTACCCTCTATTAGACCCTAAGTACCCATTATTTGGGACCATATACCCCTATTTGAGGCTACAAGGAGGGTCCTGGGAGACTCTGTCTTGTGGCTCCTATAAAGTACCCTTAGTAGTATAGGGCCCCATATTAGGGGATACTTTCTAGATCCTCCCGGGGGTCTGTCAACCCAAACGAATCCAAAAGCACAGGAGCCCATCGTCGAGCCGGTGGTGGGCCAGGGCGGGGCTTCGCCACTCGGAGCGGTTTAGACGACTTCAGGTATCATAGGGGTTCCTTTAAAGGGACTATGAGGGTACTATAAGGGTACTATAAGGGTGTTATTATTCTATAAAATACTTTAATATAGTCCACAATAATCTACAGTAGTTTAGGAGTTTAGAAGACTTCAGGTATCATGGTACATCATGCTATGCTACAGAACCCTAAACCCTAAGCCATTCAGATTATGTTCTAGAAGGGTTCCGTTAAACGCTTCTATAAGGGTTTTGAGGGTTTGGTGTAGGAGCCTGATTAAGAAACCTTGGGCCTTTATTAGGGCGTCTTATATGACTCCTACTATTTTGGTATTATCGGCCTCGGGTTTCTTAATCAGGTTCTTACCTCAGCATACCATACTGCATCATTCCCAACTCTAGTTTAGTGTAGTATAGTACGTTGTAGTAGATCATAGCATTTCATACTTTATTAAGTTTGCTATAACCTATTGTAGCTTAGTGCATTATGACAGTACCTTAGGGTATATCATACTGCATTATCGTCTGCTATAGTCTACTGGTTTAACATTTCCTATAGCTAGTACAGCAATATAGTATGTTATCTGGGCATATCGTACTGTATTAATAGTCTACTGTAGTCTACGATCTTTAGTATATTATAGCACATTATCGTAAACTTGGCCGATCTGTAACAGTCTGGTACTATGTATAGTCTAGTTATGTAGAACCCTTAATATGATCCCTACTCATAAAGACAGGATGGGGGCAGTGCCCGAGCCTGAGGCGTTAATGTTTATAGGGCTGGCACAGCGATCTACAAGGGCAATGTACACCGTGGGGTTGTTGTGTGCTACAATGCTTTCGGGAGAAGAATCGGGATACTAGGCACGAATGTAGAAGACACAATGAAGCAACATGTAGAGTTACACTCTCCCTTAGTGAAGCTTTGAGTGGTTCGGTAGAACAAAAAGGCGTTTGTGTGCTGAGTATGTAAACTGGCGAACGAGTACAGACATCATGAGATCATGCGACTGACAAATCTCTGAACCCCCAACTTCCACACGGTCCACACCTCGATGCGAATCCATTCTCGAAGCCATTCCAAAGTGAGTGCAACAGCAGAGGCCGCATGCGTCCTCAGGGGCATTCCAGTCTCGAAGTCTTTGCGCTGTCATGATGCGCTCTTTGTAGCTGTCTCGTCAGCAAAATGGACGGCTTCCCAGGCCCGCCCGCGACGAGATGCGGCTGCGAGAAGCGCAAATGAATGACCTTGTGCCTCTTTGTTGCGGTTTTTTGGTGGAGATTCAACATTCGCGGTTTGAGGGGCCGACGGGTACGGTAGGGAAGCACGACGTCACATTGATCGTCATCGCTGTAGTCGCTACCCCGAGGAGCCGCAGAGTGAAAGCACCATCACAAAGGCAATTTTGTTGCATTGCAAGACCAAGCGTTGGCATTTTCAAGAGCTCGACAGTCTG